AAAGCAGTGATTGATGCAAATGTGCAGTGTCACGTCACGAACTGAGAAATCGTTAAAAAAAATGGGTGAGCAGTAAAAACACGACTTAGAATAATACAAAACTAGATAAAATATAATCAACACATGAACTAAAAATAGAAACACAAATAAAACACATACAGCGGAACTACGGGAAATACTTGCAGGTGATGATATGAATAGATAATAGATAGATAGATAGATAGATATAGAAGATATGTAGATATATATATATATTATATATATATATATACATATAGATATCTATATGTATATATATTATATATATATATATACATAATACATATATATATATATTATTATATAATATATATTATATATATAATATATATATATATATATACATATATATGTATGTGTGTGTATGTATATCTATCTATCTATCTATGTATATATATAAATATACATAACATAGATGAACATGTATATGTAATATAGATAGATAAACATATAGGTATACATATACATATATACATACATACATACATACATATATCTTCTTCTTCCAGGTGCCATGCCTTGCGGCTTCGGCGATCATGGCCTTCCATCCGTCTCGTTTCCAGACACTTGTGATTGTGTCAGAAGGGCTTGATGCTCTTAGCCACGATGTTAGTCCGTCCAGCATCTTTTCTCGTTGTCTCCCTCTGTCTCTTCTCAGATCTTCCCAGTAGTGACTAGGCGTTCCATTCCAAGCTTTCGCAAAAAGTGCCCAAAGAATGTTGCTTGGCGCTTTCTAATAGATTTGATGAGGGATCTCGATGTTGCTGCCCCTCTGAGCACTCTCATGTGTATATATACACACATATATATAAATTATATATATATACTGTGTATATACTATATATATATATATATATATATATATATATATATATATATATATATATATATATACATATATATATGTGTGTGTGTGTATATATATGTATATATATGTATATATATATATGTACGTATGTACAGTTGCGGAATTATATTTCAGTACACATGCTGGTTCTCGCTTTTGTACATCTGGCAACCACGTCGATGTAAACATAGCGTAAATAGTATTTTTATGAATGGGACGAAAACTCTAGGTTGTTTGTTACAAAGAGCGTGATTGGTAGAACATAAATAGCCAGTAAGTGTATTAATATCTATTTTTAGAAATGAAATAAGCTATTTGATATTTCGTTTTTTTTTCAAATAACGTTGCAAAATGTGCAGTATTAATTATCGTTAGGTTTGTATGGAATATTATTCAACTGCGACTTCTTGGAATTGCTTATCGAAATGAACAGAACAATTAACAATGATATTTGCATATTTATTGAATACAGAAAACGCCTCATACTTCAAACCTCCATGCATGGCAGCTAAATCAAATAGAAATCTGCAAATTCGCTGAGAAGTTAGCAAGTGCTTCTCGATGCTGCGCCATCTAGTAGCAGGTAATCGAACTGATGAATTGAGACTTTTCTTTTCGCCGGAACAAAACTCTTTTTCAATAAACAAAACATATTACGTTATATTTTCCATTATAGAACATTACATGAACGCAAAACCGCAGTATGAGTATGGAGAATATAAAGGCGCTTTTTCACTGAGTGTGTGCATCGTATGTGCATGCATGTGCGTGCGTGCGTGCGTGTGCACGTGTGTGTGTGTGTGTTTATGTGTACACGCGCGTGTGCATACGTGTGTATGTGTGAGCCTGCCTGCGCGCGTGTGTGTGAGTATGCGTGTGAACTACTAATTAGGTAATTTAAAGAAAGAGGAACCAACTAGAATATATATATATATATATATATATATATATATATATATATATATATATAATATATATATATATTTTTTTTTTTTTAATCTCATAATCTTTATGATAATGAATACCCTTTAATTCCGGAATATCTATCTCGCTGTTAACCCAAGTATATGTTAAATGCACAAAAAAATGTATTGTCGGTATGACGCCTTTATGAAGTATGGGAAATCCGAGGTGAAACGAGGTTGTCTGTGAAAGGCTTAGCTGACACTCTTGAAGATGAACGCAAGGCAAACTAAAATTGCGAATCGTGTCGCATCATTGAGATGAAAGTGGTCTCTCTCCTAGTGAAATTTCCAGGGCGCCGGGTATCTCCCGGTCTGTAATTTACTGGTGGATAAAGAGGTGGGAGGAGGAGGGCACCCTGAACGATCGCCCTCGTTCCGGTGCTCACGAAAGGCAACCGAAGATCAAGATGCTCAGATCAGGGAGATGGTGGAGGCGAACCCCTTCACCAATGCACTTAAAGTACAAGAACTGTAGCTCCCAGTAACAAGTCGAACGGCGAGAAAAAGATTGCATGCAGATGGTATTAATCACCGAACACCTTCAAAGGGAGGTTGACCGAACGTCATCGCCAAGGTCGCCTCCAATTCGCCCAGCAGTATGTAGACAATGATCCGGATTACTAGGGATGGGTAATCTGCAGTGATGAAAAAAACATTTTGTTCCACCGCGCACGGAACGCTCCAATACTGGAGGAGAGATAACACAAGGTATGCACATTTTTAACTTCTTTATTGTATTATGATTTATGGAAAAGATCACTCCATATAGATTATTGCTGTATGCGCACTAATATATATTCTAATATCTCATTCTGTATTTTCCAGATATGATAGACAAAACATCTACGAAACTACGAGGAGTGGCCACGTGGTGTGTGAGGGGTGGATATTCCTGCATGGCGTTGACGATCTAGCAGAAATAGAGGGGATTCAATTCGGAGAAATATATCGTATTAGAAGTGTTTTTCCCGTCAGTACGCAGCTATACCTTGCCTTTCCCAGAAACGACCGTATCCATGCAGGATAACTGCCCAATACACACGTCGAGGGAAGCTACAAGATGGTTTCGTGACCAAAACCACCTCGAGGTCGAGCAAGGAATGTGACTTAACTTAACGCCTGGGCAAATATAGTCAATGTCTGGAAAACGGCAAATGAAAGACCTTCGCAAAAGTTAATAGAACATGCAAAGAGGGAATGGGAAGTACTGCGTAGGAAACCGGAACTTGTATATGAGCATGTCGCCTCCGTCCCGGAGAGACTACGAGTTGTAGAAAATAACGGTGGTTGGGCAAGGTTTTAATAAAAATTAATTGTTCCTGTCAGAATGACTTTCCTAAATGTTTGCATTTTCTACATATTACTGTTCTTCTTTAAAAGCAAAATGACAACTCTTTAAAAGATTAGTTCTACCAATTAGTCAATCCATACAAAGCAAGAAAGTATTTCAATAAACAATTACATGTTATTTTTCGCTGAACGTGGTTCATAAAGTTTGAAATGTAAAACTATAATTCTAAATCATAACGCATACTAGTACTCAAATAACGGAAATGGCGTACAGGCGCATTAAAAATGGTCAGCGTCTCTAATTTCTCAACACTCATACATGCTCGCAGTGATAAAACCCTTGTAAATTCACTGTATTCCTGTGATTTTGCGTACAGTTGGTCTGTAATGAAGGTTACAACGTAACATTTTTTCCTCTGAATCAATGTTTGGTTCTGACGAAAAGATAATAAACTCACTTTACTTGTTTAATTAGCTGCTTCTAGATAGTTAAGTAACGAGTACTTGCAGAGCTCTCGCCGAATTTGCATATTCTATTTCTTACAGCTGCCATACGTAGCTGTTTATAAAAAGCAGCGTTTATAAGTGTAAAGAATGTGCAGACATAACCATTTGTGGAGCTAAGACGCCGGCCCACTTCCATAGATGTTTCCTTTTCAGTAATCAAATAATTCCAAGAAATCGTATATGAAAAAATACTCTTTAAAGCCAACGATATCTAATACATTTCATATATCAAAAAATTATGCTTTCATAAACATAACAGAATATATAAACTTTGACTTTGTAATGGAGGTAAATATGCAAATTTAATTATACCTACACATATACAGTGGATAGACACTGACAAATGAGA